ATTAATCGTAAAGATCCATGTGAGGGTTGCAAAGCATCTGAAAGAATCAAAGTTGCTGTATAAAAGGGTTTGAGAAGTTTCATCATTTCTTTAATAATTTTCTAATCGTCGGTTTCCAAATAATTATCTTTTAAATTTGGACAAGATTGTACGAGGCCATCGATAATATTACAAATATCAATAAGTCTTTCAAGCATCAAATAGGTAAAATTCCACTTTGTCTCAACATCAGTTACTGGATGGAGAAATTGATAGTCTAAAATAGCAGATATTCTTTTCATTTCCTCTAAATGTGTAGATGATTTTATTTTATTACAAAAATGTCAGGCCTTCTGAATCTGACAAAGATATATTTTTTGACCTGCTTTAACTACAAGATTAATAGCATGAGCTACACAACGTACATGCTCAAGTTTTGGATTTATAGACCTTTGAAGAAAACGTAGACACGTCAAATTATTTCTCGCATTATCACTAGTGAAGCCAATTACCTGTTCTTCAATCTCCAGAGCTTTAATAACTTCAAGAATTTTTTCTCCAAGGTATTCTCCTATATGGGCATCATGAAGAGAAATGAAATCAAGAAGAAGAACTTTTGCCGTCCATTCAGCATCGATCCAATAGATCGTAATTCTAAGAAAATATTGCTGATTGTATGCTATCCAAACATCCAAAGTAAGTGCTAATTTATTTGGGCTAGCCTTTAGAGTCATCTTAATTTTTATTTTTGCTAATTCAAATTGTTTTTTTATATTTGTAGATAATGTTTGACGGCAAGGAAGCTTGTAACGTGAATCAAGATTGGAGCAAAATTTTATAAATGATTCCTCTTCAACTACTGAAAATAGTTGCTGGCTAATAACGATCCAACACAACAAGTCATGGTTCAAAGAATCAATACGAGGCTGTTCGCCAGTTGAATAAAAAGAAGGCTTTGGAGTTTTCGAAAAATCTTTATAGATTAGTGGATGTTTTATTTTAAAATGACTTGTTATTGTTGAAATTGATGTGCCTTCTGCCCATTTATTGTTACATATCTTACAGAGCTTGAATTGTCACTAAGCTCATCAAGATATTCGTAAACTGGTGCAAGTTTTCTCTTTTTTGATCGAAGGTTATTAGGTTGGATAAGCTTTTCAGTTTTTTGTAAAGTACATT